CAACGCTGACTCGCGCTGTCTGGGTTTGATACAAGGCTGTGACGCGCTGCATATTGAGGGGGCGTTGTCTATCTGGTTAACATCTAGCGGACCTGAGAGTCTCGGTAGATTTCGGGCATTCAGTGGTTGCTTCTAGGAAGCTGACCTTCCTGATATTTCCTTTATAGTCCTCGTGGAAGGTTAGGACAGTGTCGTCAGTATGTTGTCTTCAAATCCATCGAATGTGTCACATCTACCCGCTGTCTCCCGCTCCGAAGCCTTAGTGTCAGCAAAAGTCTTGCCTACAAGCGAGTGCAACGGTTACAAGGGATCTCACGCTAGTTGAATTGCATTTTTCATCGATCCAGGCTGTTGCTAAATTGTTCAATTGATTCACTGGCCTGGATGTTTGCTGGTTTCCCTATTAGGATTTTCGTGGAGTTTGAGGGTTTCAGTTGGTTTCAGGCATTCTGGGATTATTTTCAGGAATCTGACCTTCTTGACAGAATCCCACTGATTATTCTTGATCGAAGCTCAAGGCAACTGACTGGTTAAGGAGCGAAATTACCGATCGGAAGGTGCGTAATTCGATCCCAAATTCAGTATCCCGACTGCTCCTGTCTAGTAGGTTTGGGCAACCTGGCAGTGATTCCTTCAGCTAGCACGGTAGCTAGGCGCCGACAGGGTGTTACTGCTGAACACTTGTTGAAATTGTAATCTTGAATGTGGTCTATTAGTCCAGTGGTGTATATAATACGTGTGACGTTATCAGAACGGTCCTTTTATTCCCTATTCAAGTAAAACCACTCTGTCTTATTTACCTTTCCATTCTCGTCTGCCAACCAGGTTCATTTCACACGGCCGGACGGATTGTCGCTGGATGTGCCGCAAATCTGGTCTGGATGGATACAGTCTATTTGAGCGGGATCGGTACACTTACTGGAGGTATCTGCAACATCGTTTTGCCCTTGATCTTCCCATCAAGTTTTATGTGGTATTCTATCTACGCCGCATTGTTTGGTGTTGCCTGTGGTAAGTTGACCAGACACTGCTCGTAAAGCTGTTGGTGTTCCCCAATAAACACACCTAATCCGCTACTTTGCAAGCACCCTATACTAGCGGGTGAATCTGTTTTATGATATGAATTTCGCTGATAACCTGTACTCTAGAGTGCTCCCCGTTCTGTTTTGAACGTGCATCCTTGTAGCTTTACGTCTTGACTTTGATATAAGTGTCATTCCATCGTTTTATTTATGCCCGCACACACACGCTTACTTGGTTTCAAGCTCTTTTCGAACCCTCAACGCACCCTTAAATGCTCTCCCTATTCCCTCATTTGTTGCAAGCCTTCCCGATTCCAATGATCCACCTACTATTAGTACGGTTCCTCGGATTGGAACGGCTGACTGCGAGCTACAGCAACTTGAATCTGGCCAAGGGAATCGCGTCCGTAGTTGGGCCGCTTGTAGCCGGTGAGTAGACTTTATTGGTAATATTCATTACATTATTGAGCAATGACAAAACCGTATTGTACCACAGTCTACAAGAATTCTTTGTGGCAGTTCTGGAATCAGCTACTACCTACTACCTATTTCATTTCATCCATTTCCTGTTAGAGGATGGGGTCACTTCTTAGAAGTCTCCGGTTATAGATGTTTACGCAAGACGATCGATGAAAAGACTTTCAATCCAGCTTTTGTCCTCATGGTGTGGGCTGAAAATTTTTTTCTATTGCAGTTAACATTGTCGAAACCACGGGTGAAACTGCTCATTACTTTTTCGTGGCTGGGGTTTGCTTCACACTGTCCGCACTCGCTCACTTAGGACTTTGTCGATTTCCCTGCTCAAAGCCTGTGGATGAGCTGGAGGACGATTTTCGGGCTGACTGCTGCATGTGTCTAACCGAACGTCAACAAGAACCGCAAGACTATTTAGAAGAGGATGAAGAATTGCACGCAGATCTACCCTTGAACTACCATTAGTCGGATCAGACTACTCAGGAAATGATTCCACCCTCGGACCCACTCAACTTCTGTTGCCATGTTGTTGGCCCCGGACCTCCAAGTGTGCTTAACCCACCCATCATTGCCTTCAGTCCGATTCCTTCTAGCGTTCCTATTTATTTCAACCCTTCTGCAAGATGCTCAGTTCCGCTTTTGCTATTCACATCCTTCGTTTTGCTAGGCCCTCTTGCACGTAAAAGCCAGATCTTGATTTTTGAACATTTTACCACAAGTTGAGTGCTGCTCTGGGTTGAGTAACGCTTCAATCCGGAAAAAGTTGTGGTTTTGTTGTATTTAACTAGCACGTTTTTGAACAGGCATCTTTTTTAGGGTTTACTTTTCCGAGTGAAGTGATGCGACTTGGAGTTGACTAATTCGCAGTCAGTCGCACTTTGGCTACAGCTTACACCCTTAACCGGTAGGTGGTCTGTTTCAGCTTCGATCTTGGGCTGGTTGTCTGAGCCAATCTAGAAATGCTCATTCAATTGACGTAGAAGTCACCATATTTTCAGGTTACCAGGATTATCGTACAACGCACTTAGGCAAACAATCCATGAATACTTTTGTAATATTATCGTTCGAGTTTCCAGGACTGAACCAACTCCGGTGTCATTCAACACACCGGGTGTATTTGCCAATAACTTTATCAATTCAGGGCGTTCTGGATATCGTCGTAGATGAACGTATCGACCGCTGCCCCAGTGAAATTCACTCATTCAGTTCCCTCAGACTGTATCTGTTGAGTAAACCGTTTTTTAAGTAATTGTAGGCATTCCACTTGGCTTCACTGACCTGTAACCATGAGAAGAGGGTAAACAACACAAATTCCAGTATGTTTCTAGTTAGCAAAATCATGTTTATAGGGTTTTACGCAGTTCAGTAGGGGAAAATTTGCGAGATTCGACCTGCATATGATAAGCTATCCACTCCACTGTCTACCTGGCGAGTGAGTTTTGGAAATCTCTATCCTAGCTCCTTTCAATGACATTTAGTTGGTCAATCGATATCTCGCTCAGCCTAGCTTGACTGGGCTTTCCAGAATGTATTTCAACGCTCGAATACCAATGTACTAGTCAAGTCAAATCGCGAGAAGATGTGCACCCTGAGGGTGAGTTTCCGACAACGCTTGCTTGATGATGCCTTCCTTTATTTCCATTCCTTCGCTCGTTTTCGGCAACTGGGAAAATTCGTCGTTAAAATGACCAGTACTGAAGTGCTGGGTTAATATAACGGTGGTACACAGCCGCACACAAAGATGACGGTCTAACGTCCGGCATTCACTGATGGTAAATGTAACATACTGAACGGATTGGGCGATTGGAGACAGGTAACAAACCAGAATGTCATCAACATACTAAACTGTACGCAATAAATTCTCCAAACGTCCAATTCCACTTTTAATAACGTAAACTAAAAAGCTTACGTGGTCGTGGCGTTCAGCTAGCGCAGAATCTAGAGCAAAGTATGATCAGTGACGCAGTAGCATTCAAAAACACGGGCGTACTGTCCGTGGGGGAAATGATACAACTGGAGTTTGCACACCGTGCCCATTTCCCGTTGCACTTATTACTGCTTCCTAGAATGGAAAAAGTTTCAAGGTGGCCCGCGGAATTATTATTCCTATATCTTTGTGCCAGAAATCGAATTATTTGTGTACCGATACCATCCTACGTAACTCATAGTTAGGTAGGAAGGACGGGGGGATTTCCAGAGCAAAACAGAACACACTTGAAAATGATTTTAATTTTTGACTCTTTAACGTCACTTTCTTATGTTGATGGAGTTAACCATTTAATTTGGTTCGCTTTTGCGTAACATCGCTCCACACAGCTGAAGATTCCTTTCCCTATCATTGATCTTCTTTTCTGGGAACAGCGAATAACCGCAAAAGTATAGGCGTGATCACAAAAAGTTCGTAGTTGTGAAAGTCGTTACGAGTTTCCTGGTTTTACGCTTCCTCGGTAAACACGCAGGCGATCGATAATGGTTCAAGGTCACCGAACTCTGATACATATTTTGGTGTAGGTGCAACAATGTAAATTTATCTTGAAGGAGGATGACCAGTGTATTATCCACCCCGTCCGTACTCGGGTGCTCTGCCAAGCTAGACGCACAACAGCACCAATGCCCTAGCTTCTATGAGGCCATGCAAATTAAGTGTCACGCTTCCGATGGCTGACATTTTGGCACATTGGTGGATCAGCAGGGTCTCATTTTTGTATCGACTGAATGAGAGCCTTAAACCGTGATGAATTCCATTAAACGGTAAATACACAGGGTGTGAAGCAACTGAAATAATGATAAGTCGCCAACCACATGAATCCCGACACGGTTTGGGAACTAGTATCCTGGATATAGTGGAGAGGTTACAAAAGTAGTACCCGTCCCAGTAGATAGGACTGTTGAAGGGATTTGAAAAAGATGTCCATCACTCGGGTTTTAGGTTCAGAATTTCACGCTCTTTATAAACTATTTCAGTCGAGATTCTGGTGCACCCTGGAGCGTAAAACGCTCCAGGCTTGTGATGACGTTAACGACGGCATTCACGTGTCGCCACTGGAGTGACTAGCTAACGGACAAACCCACATAGCAACTCGATGAACCACCACATGTCAATGTGTTTAATGGATAGCATATCATGTCAGGTGAAGTGCGTGCAATTTGAAATTGAATACTGTTTATCCCTTAGTTGTGTCATTCAGACATCAGAGACGAAGGGCTTTATTAAAGTGGACGACGAAATCGTCGTCTCGGAAGTAAAACATACTACTCAGGAATTTTTTCGCAAAAACAAGCTATCTATGTAGCTAGGTTTCTGACCCTACGGAGTTGACATTCCGCCATCTCACGGTATTAAGCAAGGTATCCCGTACATGATGCGTTATGTTAAATACCCCTGAATGTTTATTCCTTAGGTCCTACTTTGTGCATCACGTTGTGACTAATCGAGGCAGTACATTGGTTTTGGTTGTCTGGAAGAATGTGGCATCGTTCTCCGATGTTGGGCTCAATTTTCATGTTTTGTGGGCAATGATGTGGACGCTGATCGTCTGGTGAAAGACTAGAATGTTCGATTACTTCAGATGGGTGACCGCGTGTTGGGGATATAGACTGAGTTTGACCAAAGTTGCATGGTGAACCGAATAGGTTTATGGAGAAATCCATAATTCTCATCACTCTATTTTGAACCGTGCTCCCTCGCCTAATTTCACTGATTCTCGTCTGAGTTTGTGCCCCTTAATCGTCTGCATAAGTTTCCTAAATTCGCTTAATTGATGTTATAACAGGAAAATCTCACTTGCAATAACTTACAAGGTGTGAATGCAGACCATCTTCTAGTCTTCAGCCCAGTAGCGCCAAAAGACGATCCACAGAAGCGCCAGAATGCACACGCAGATAGTTTTGGGACATTCTGAACGAACACAGAATGGACAGACGTGATAAGCTGTAGAAAACACTTTAGACACCAATTCATCGACGAGTTTGTTGTTCGTCCTAGTTTTCAGTTTCGTTGGAGCACCGTTAACGTGTCGTAACTAAAGTTGGTACTGCGTCTACCTGCTCTGTTGGATTGCGTAAACTGGGACAGTCAAAAAGCATGCAACAGTTTGGCGCATCTAACTACTCCATCAAGAGTAATGGCTATCACCAAACTCCACATGATTACTCAACTAAAAATAAAGCTGTCCACAGATTTGACCGCCCCCCTCTCAACCACTCAAACAGTCTCTTAGGTTTGAACACACATAGGGTACCGGTCAGTCAGTTTCTTTTGTCCCTTAGTGATTCGGTTTACGTGATTATGGCGGTCATTTACAGCGGTGGAAATGTCAGGTTGTGGAAAACTGCTCTCAAGTTTGTTTTCCTCACCAACAGGCTACCCAAACACAGCACGCAGTCCCGTTGGTACGGTGTGGACAGTCGCAGAACTAAGCATTCCTGGTTTCCAAGTTTCTGGCTGATAATCAGAATAGTCGTTCTGACTATTTTAGCAAGTATTCTCATTTGCACGTGAATATGGTTTTGACAACAGACATGAGACAGCCTGGTACAGCACATTCGTTTGTGGCGGGCCATCACACACGATAGATTTAGCTGAATTCAGTTGAATTGCATGTGAAAACCAGGTTCATGTGCAAATAAAAGTACTTGCCGAAATCTGTCTAAGTTGGATTCAGGTAAAACATAGGGTTGGTGGGAAATCAGAGACTGCGCTTACCTGATGAGCCTCAAGAAGAGTGAAACCGCTCGGGGGCCGTCGAAAGGCTTTCAATGACGTTGTGAGTAATGTCTTTCGTCCAAACACATTTTCTTTACACAACATTTTCCCCGGTTTTTTTAATGGTCTCTTCGTCAGCCCGCTACTGTTTTTGCCCTACTTGAATGCTGTCGAGCAGTCGTAATACCTGGGGTTCCACCAACCTCATGCTTTACTTGGACTGAAAACTGTGCACGAATGGTGAATTACGCTCCCTTAAAAACTTTTGTTTTAAGTAGGATACTCAGCTTCACTTCGTCAAAATTAACCATTCCACGCTTACTTATCCGTGTGCGTGCTCTCTTCAAGCTCGTTGTTGAAAAAGTTCGTTCACATACACCAATACTACCAGTGGAAAGTGTGAATTTGCATGAAAAACATTATTCTAGTAGGCCGAAGTTGTTGTCACATCCATAAGTTTTTTATTAAGATTCTAGATACATTTCACTAATTCAATTCAGACAAAATAGCATCTTAGGGTTTTTCATGTTCCATTGATTAGTTTGTGATACAGCTGGTCTTGACAGTGACGCAACTAGCGCTGGGTAGGTATATTTGACGCTCAGCCAGCCAATCGATTAAGCATTGATCTGCTACTTCTGGCTAACACAATAGGTATAAAACCTCGGTGGCTCGCAACTGAACGCTGTTGATCGCGCAGTTGTCTCGTATACCTTAGTGAAGCTTGCTATGCAGAATTATGAGGGACGAAAAGGAATTATCGAAGTGTTGGATGACGAAACCGTTCTGGAGGTAAAGCAGGTTAAGAAAATATGTGGACTATCCGAACAGGTCAAGTTTCACAACCATACAACAAAACAGCCTACACTGTAGCCTAATACACACATCTCTTGAGATTCGGAGGTACACCGCTTTGACGCCCTAGGTATCTCAACTTAGCAAACGCCTCTCATCTCTTGCAGATTTGTGCGTTGATCTCATCCGTCACACTAAAATCAGAACTAATACAACTTCCAATGTACGTAAGACGTTCCACAACTTCCAGGGCCTCTCCCTATGGTGTGTTTAGTGAATGCATGTCCATGAGCATGACCTTACACTTTATGGCTGCAAAGTGCACACCAACGG